TGTGTTAACTTCTGGTGTACATCATGGTGATTCATTTTATACACGTATATATTCCTTTTCATAGTCCTCTTCATTATAGGTTCTTACAAGCTATTGAATATGGTTCCCTGTGCTATACAGTAAGGCCTTGTTTATCTGTTTTATATGCAGTAGTATGTATCTGCAAATCCCGAGCTTCCAGTTTATTCCTCCCCAGCCCCTTTCCCTCCCTGGTAACCACAGGTTTGTTTTCTACCTCTCTGAGTCTGCCTCTGTTTTAAGTTCATTAGTGTCCTTTGCTCATGGCTTTTTGCATCTCTTCTTGCCCATCGAGACCCTCTCCAAAGCCTGTGCTCCCCAGGACGTGCAGCCTTGCCCACTGCCACAGGAAACAGCCCCGACGGGCTGGTCCTCATCCCCTCCCACCCCCCCATTCCAGTAAAAAATTATTTTCTTGTTGCATAAGTGATTATAATCCAGATGTAATACATAATAGACATAGAAGGAGCAACTAACTGGCCTCTGGGGAGTTGGCTCACTGCAAGGACAAGAATGAGGGAGATGTTGCCAGACAGAGAAGGGCACATGGGAAAAAAGGGGTGGGGGACCTGAAAGAGCATTGCTTGCTCCTGTTCTGGGGGAAGTTGGGTGTGGCCCAGAGCATGGCCAGCATGTGGGCAGAGACCGAAGATGAGGCTGCGTAGTGAACGGCTTTCAGCTTTATTAACCACAATATGGTTTCAGAATTTTACTCTGTGGCAGTCATTCTGTTAAGGACTTTATGTGAATTTCATCTGCAAACACACCCTTTGGTGCAGTAAGCATCATTATCCTCATTTGGCAGATGATGAAAAGTGACAGCAGAGGTTTGGTAACGTCCCAGAGCCGCACAGCTAGTCATAGTGTCTGGATCTGTCCGTCCTGTGACCCTGGGCTTCAGTCACTGTGCTTTCCAGCGTGGGATCAACAGTCTGTTTAGCAAGTACTTTAAAAGCCATCATAAATACACTGCTGATGTGTAAAATGAATACAGTTAACGCCAGTACAGAGCACGCTGTATTTTTTTGGTTTGATTCTGAGTCATTTGGAGAGCCTGGCTTTCTGGCAGCCCGGGGTAGAGCGTGTGAATTCAGGCCCAGGGTGTGTGTGCAAGGGTTTGGGACTTAGGCACTTTGTAACACTGCAGCATGACCTGTCGTTGAGGTTTCCTTTGCCTAGCTAGTTTTGGGGCTTCCTTAAAATGTGGGCTTTTAAGAAAACATGGGATTTCTGGAGCTGGAAGAGAAGTTCTGCTTAGTCTCTGAATCCTTTACCGATGTTGTGGTGATTCTGCTGTTGTGGTTGGTGGTGTCACTGTCTTGTTTCAGGGGAAAAATTTCTTCTGTTAGTTCGTAGACAAGTAATAGGGATATTTTGTTTACCTTGAAATTCTTAGGAATGCTGTTTTTGTAGACACATCCGATTTAATAAAGATTTTCGGGTTTCTTTAGTTTCTTCTGCTTCTCCCGTGGTGCAGTGTCAGCTAGCCGCCTGGTTATTATCCTGCGCTTGGTGATGTCACCCCCTCAGCATCCGCTTCTGTCTCCTCTGCATCCCTTCACTTTCCTTCTAATGTTTGGTCCTGTGAACTGCTACGGGATGCCTCACCCTCCTCGGCGCTGACCGCAGGAGAGCATGCTTGCCTTTTCTGTTTGGAACCAAGAAACACATGTGGTTTAGGAAGCATGGCAACCATGTAAGTGGTGGAAAAATTAGTTAAGAGGGTGTGAACTCGGGCTATTTAGTTACCTTCAGTAGACCTCAGTTTCCTCAGTTATAAAGGAGGAGGCAGGTCTAGGGCCTTTAGAAGAGGCCTTTAAGGGTCCCTCAGTGAGGTCTGAAGTTCACGTATGTAGGAAATTTCATCATCAGTTCTTGGCTTTATGTTTAAGTGGTTTTAACAACTCTTGTAAATTGAACTGTAATAGCCCGTTTCCCATGTACATTTTATTAATAGCTTTAATGAATTGTGAATGACAATTTAATTAGAGCCTCCGTGTATAATTAGGACAACCTTTTTTTTTCCCTAAGAGGATCTATTTTTCATTTCTGAGGATGCAGCTTACCTCTAACGTAGGTAAGCATTTTCCAAAGTAGAAAAGCTTTTTCTGTCTTCTTGATAAACGTAAAGATCATTTTACACTTTCTTGAAAAGCCATGTGAATAAAATACAGAGAGTGGTTTTGTCCTGGGTTTTACACTGGGCTCATAACCCAGGCAAACGTGACCTAAGGCAGTACATGTTGTGTCCTGGTAACAGCGCAGTGTGGAATTTAAGAAACTATTTTCTATTTACTACTTACTTTCCTACTTTTTGTGTAAAGCAGCTTTACAGCCACTTCATCTCTGTGTTTGAGTGCTAACTTTTTAAAGCTGGCAAGTAGATTTTCATTAATGGCATTCTTATCTCTTGTGAAGGTGCCACATTAAACATGTAAAAGAAAATCAGCCTTATCTGATGGATGGCCTCCAGTTAATGGGCGAGGAACCATTTGTATTTGGCTTTGCACTGTGTTTTTGTACTTAGATTTGAGCATGGGTGTGCCTGATATTCTGGGAATTTACAATACCTCAAACAAATAAGGAAGTCCCACTGTGCAGACAGACCCAGAAGGAACTGGAAAGCTGACACACAGACGTTTGTCCTTCCCCAGCTACTTTGCTGAATTCTTATCTGTGGTGGGCCATGACCCTCAGTGTTCTGGGATGAAACACCCCTCCCCAGCTGAATGGCTCTCTCTTTTCCTATGTCATCTTTTGATCCATGCGCTCAGAAATTGAGTGCATCTTAGAGTATTTAGAGATTGAAACCCTGAATTATTCAAGTGTTCTTCTCACTCCAGTTATGAGGGAGGTAACTGGAATCCCTGTTGCTGTGAAGAGGCAGTGTGTCCTATTATGTTCATGGATTATTTGCATTTCCTGTGGTTAATCCCACTCTGGATAAAGTAAATCTGTGTCAGGAAGTGAGCCTGATCTGGCCTCACATTACAGGTTGTGGCAGAGGTTGGAGCAATACCTCAGCAGAAGAGATGGCAGTTGGCAGAAGCCCCCTGAAGTTCCACTTGTCCCCAAACATCTACTCCACTGGCCCGACCATAGGGGCCTGAGAAAATGTGTCCCCATTGGTTAAGTTTAATGGGAGCGGGAAGAGGAGTGATTTGGTGTCTGGTCTAAAGAGGGTGGATGGGGAGAGGCAGCTTGATGGTGCATAGGTGACTAGGTGCCTTGGAAGACTGGTGACAACCTGTATCTTATACACAGTTTTATAAAATAACGTCTGTTGTTGACATATTTGGCTTCCAAGTTAACTTAGAAAGTAGAGGATTGGAGCCAGATCATCTTGTGTAACTGAAGATTTGTGAGCCCTATTAGAAAAATTCTAAAATGTGATTTATTATTAATTACCAGTTATAAAAATAGTTTACCAAATCTGGAAAATACAGAGTAAGGGAAAAACTCACAAGCATTGCCACCAAGAAGATACAATTTTGTTGATATTGTGTCTATTCTGTGTGCATCAGTAGATTTTGAACAGGTGTCATGTGTTCGTACTGCCTGCTTTCTCCCTAATAGATGATGAATGCGTTTTCTTGCTTGTATTTTCCTAAAGCATTACTTTTATTGTTGCCTAACATGATGTGAGACCACCTTAAAATAAGATACTCAGTTATGACGAAGGTCTTGAGTTTTTCATTGTAGGGAAAACCAAGGTTTAATTAAGGGGTAGCCTTGTATGAATGTGGGTCCTAGAGGTTTATATCATGATAGAAATAGAAGGCATTTTTGAGTTTATCTAGTCTCTTACTGTATACGTGCAAGGGAATTATGGCCCATGTGATTTATGGGACTGCTCAAAGTCAAACATTTTAATGGCAGAAAAGGGAGTAGTGTCCCTGGTGTTCCTTATCCACTGTATCATATCATGCCTGACAAATATAATACACTTCCCATTTCCCAAGACATGGCTGAGCATGTGAGAGCATCTCCTGTAGTTAGTATCTCTGGGTTTCTTTTGTGGTTTGTCAGTTGGTTTTAAAATGATCTTGAGGCTCAACTTTGACCCGTGAACCAAAACCTCGGAGGGGAGCCCTTCCTTTGGTCCTACAGGATGGAATAATCCTCAGATCTGTGCTGGCTTGAGGGCATTAGAGGCCAGAAATGGATTCTACAGTGCAGACACCTGCCATCTGAGGTTACTAGCCTTATGTGCTAACTTGGAACTAGTAGAACCATAACAAATAATAATAATGAATAATAATAAATGTTATATTCATAGGTACTAGTCCTATCCTAAAAAGGCATCACTCAAAGCATTGTCTGCTGTTGTACTAGATACTTTAAACGGCTTCAGTCTGCAATCACGTGTTCCAGCTCTTTCCTAGATAAACTTGAAGAACCTGAAACCCAGGTAGGTAAATTGACTTGTTCACAGTCATCTGACAGCTGGTTAGTGATTGGGTCCAAGGGCAGTAGATTGCTGGGATTTGCAAAGAGTGCTTAAACTTTAATAAGTAATCATTTGAAATTTATAAAATAGAAGAAAATAACATCACCTGTAGTCTCATGACCCAAACGGAGCTTGTGGTAACATTTTGGTAAATTCCAGTGCTTGTTTACTTTTGAAAATGTTGTATGCATGAATTTTTTTCTTTGTAAAAATAAATATCGATCACCCTTTTCTCTTGGAACCCCTACTGTGTTCAGGGTCCTGAGAACAAGGACCACTACAGATATGTTTAGTGGGGATTGATTCATTTCCTATTTTTTAGTGAAGTTTCTCAGGAAACCTATTGGAACTGTTCTTTTTTTTTTTCTTCCTTTGATTAAAACAAGGCTAATGAAGTGAGGGTTGTGGTTTGAACCTGGCATGCCAGTTCACTTTATACTGTCATAAACCATTTGCAAATGCACCATGAGACTCATAAAGTAGAGTGATGGACCACTGCACAGTTAATGAGAAAAAGCTCAGCCCAACGTACGTCTTCTGCCAACGGCAGGCCATCTAGTGAAATCGTTTCTTTACGTAATGCTTGACCACCTGTTAAGATTTTCTTGTGTGTTTTATCTCATTATTGTCCTCACAAGCCTGGGTCTTGGAGAGGTCCAAAGAGGGCTCTGAACCACCTCATTTTTCACTTCTGACCCAAAGACCAGTGCTCTTTCAGTCCTTGTCCCAATTCTGTAACATCTGTAATGTAAAGTCCTCTGTGAAGGGGTAGAATATATTTTTTTCAGTTTCTTTTAACGATTCTTTTCCCCTTTTACAAAGTGATACTTGTTCAGTGTGTTAAATTGAGAAGATATGTTACTAAAAAAAAGGTACTCATTGCACCATACCACTAATCACTTTGAACACTTTATTGTAACTCTTTCTGCCCTGCCTTTTTCTGTGTGTAGATTTGTGTGTGTGCGCGTGCGTGTATATGTTTCTGGTTATGTGTAATTACATTTTCAAGAACTGGTATGATGTTAATATATAGATTTGTAGTTCACTTTTTCCATTTCTATGTTCATTTATCATGAACATTATCATACTTAATTAAATGTAATAAAATACCATTTTTCATGGCTGCATCATCTCACATCATTTATTTTACCCATCCCCTATTGTTGAATGTTTAGATTGTAGTTTTTTTGATGTTTTCAATTGATTATAGGATTCATATTCTATATAGCTAAGTTTTGCAGAATTCATAATTATTTCCTTGGGAAAAGTCTGTAGGAATGGTGTCATCAACACAGGATACATGCAGTACTGTAACACATGACAGCTATTGCTGAATTTCCCTGGAAATTTGTAGCTATTTTTGTTTCCTCTAGAAGTGAGGAATGCCAGTTTTCCCGTAGATTTCTGAGTCTTCAATATGATCATTTAAAAACAAGTGAAAATTACATTGTTGTCACTTGAATTTGTAATTCTTTTAACACTAGGTGAGGCTAAATCACTTTTTAATTGATTGAAGTTTTTTTCCTAATTTCTCTTTTTTGGGAGATTTTTCTTCCTTTTAAGTATGATTTGTAAATGCTTTTTATGCCATTTACTATGAACTCTTTGCAGTTTTGCACGTATTTTGTCCCAAGGCATTACATCGTATTTTCAGTTCACCATGTGCTTTGGGAGTTCAGACCCTTTGTAGGATTTCCACAGCATGAGCTTGCAAAACTTACAGAGGTCTTTATGAGGTCTCCCATTTCTGTGGGACCATTTTATTACTAATACTTTTATAAAGTATTATGAGTTTATAAAACGACCTGATCAGTCATCCAGCATGGAGTCTAGTCTTTTCATTTTCTTTTATGATCACATAATAAGGCATTACCTAAAAAAGAGCACAGGCTCTCTGATGCGAGCCCCTCTCGCGACTTCCTCTCTCATGTTAAGACGCTGAAGGTCCCAGCCTAGAGTCTGCGAGATAAATGTCACTTCTGGAGGGTAACCTCTCTAGTTCTTGACTCTGTAATAGGCACCCTAAGGGATATTAAGACCGTGTGCCAGCCTTGATACTCATTTTTATTCCACGTCCTATATTCTTCACCCTTAAAGCGTCTCCACAGCTATTTTAATGCTGTGTTACGACTCTCTTTCATTCCTGGATAGCTTTAACGGGACGCCCACGTGTCTCAGTTTGCCCGGGACCATGTCGCGGCTTAGCCCTACTTGTCCCACAGCACCCCTTTCACTCTCGAAAGGTGACCCGTTGGTTCACCCTAATCTTTAAGTATCAGGTCATCAGTGAGTACATAAAATTCAGGTAATTCAATCAGAATAATTCCTTTGATTTGGTAAAAAAAAAAAATGTAGTTAGTTTTGTCCCATGGTCTTGTATTCTTAATATGCAAAAGAATTCGATGGCCATGTTTCAAAATACCCAGTGTATTATGATTATAAAATATCTCCTTTATGGCATTATATATTTGATTCTTAAGATTTACTAATTTGAGTTGGACGGAATAATTTTTCACTTTAAAATTAGGTTGAAATTGAAAGTCCCACAGTTACCGTCCTTGACCCCACCCTGGCTGATTGTGACGGCTGATGATGTGTGGTTTGGACCTAAGATGTTTCCTTTTTTGCTTTCCCTCCGCAGTTTAGAGGATTGATTTCTGGGGGTGAGTTGAGAGAGGAAAAGGGGCTGTAATATTTTGGAATGACTTATGCTTTATACTGTCCCAAGGTGGTAAAATTGATAAGACCTTACAATGAACGGTAATTTGCCACCTCAATTGTACTCTTTCAGTTTTTAGTTCACTTCAGTAAAAGGAAATGACCTTTTAATTAATAAGGTGACCGAAATACTCCTGGGAAGGCTTGAAGAAACATGTACAGTTCTTTGTGGTGCAGGATCACAAGTTTCTAATCAGACTGAACATGCATCAGTAGGGTTTGGAAATTTACTTCTGGCTAGTGGGACTTCTGAGGTGGCATGCAGTGGCCATTGCCATAAACGGCCTTAAATGTGTGATACTTATTCAACAGTTCTAGAACCGTCCTCACTCCTCATCCTTGTGGTGCATTGGGAAGGCATCCGGGGATGTACCTGATACTGGAGTAACAGTGAGAAGGGTGTGGCCATGTTCGGCCTGATAGGCTGGATTTGATTTCTGGTCCTGTGCTCCCGCTGGAGCCTGGGCAGGACCTCACACCCAGCCCTCCTCGGCGCTGCCTTTACTTCTTCCCGTAGCCATGTGCTTGGACAGAGACCATCCCAGTCCCATCTTCCTGGTTCCTGCTGCTCTTTCCACACCATCAGAAGCTTTCAGCAGTCAGCCGGTGTAGGAGATGCTTTTATCCCTGTCGTGAACATTCAGCTCTGCACACGAAGCATCATTTCCCTTCCGCAGGCCCAGCAGCAGGCTTTCTGGAACTAGACTTCACTACCACACCCTGGATATGCATTTGCCAACATAACACATCTGTAGGTGGTCCATCAGCTTCACCCTGAAGTGAGTCTTTCCTTTTGGACCCCAAACTTGTGCTAAAGGTCCGTCCCCACCCCAATTTCCCCTGTCTCCCTATATGAGCCACCTTGTCCTCTGTGGCTCCTTTTTCTCCCTCTCTGCCACACACCAGAGCCATAGCAGTCTGTCCTGCCTTGTCAATGTTGTTCAAATCCTTCCTTCTTGTCCATTTTCACCACACAAATTCAGGCTCAGACCTCCTGCCTGGACCTTTGTGGTTGCTTTCTTTCATCCCATTTCTTTGTCTGGTTTCTCCCCTGTTAAATCTGAACTACCCATCACCCCGTCCACCTGTCTTCTTCATGGATTAAAGGAGTCCTGTGATGGAGGTCACAGCTCCTCAGATATTTTCAGTGATTCCTCATAGGCTGTTAAATCCAGACTCTTTAGCTTGTATTAAGTGGGAAAAGAACAAAGAAACTACAACAAAGCCCAAATATAAACATACACTTTAAAAGGAGAGGGAGTGCATTTAGCAGCGAGCTTTTCTAGTAAGTAGTCTGAAGTTTTGGCCAGTTAGATACCTGGCAGCTCACTAAAGTTTCATTACCCAGGATGATGTTCTGGAGTGGATATACCGCTGCTGAATGTGCTAAGGACCGTTGACTTGCACACCATAACTGGGTGGGTTGCAGGGTAGATGAGTTATGTCTCAATAAAGTTGTTGTTAAGAATGTATCACCCATACTTTATAAGGTTCCAGTGGCACCTGTTACAATACAATATAAACAGTGAGCAGTGACTTGATTACCTTAGCAGTGCTGATTAAGAATGTGTGATTGGGGGACATTTCCCCACCTATATTCTTAACTTTTGTGTGTGGAATGTCTAGACCATTGTAATAGTCATTTCATTTAATATGCAACATATTAGTAGACTTAAAATAATCACTGGTGCGTATGCTTGAGAAAGCTGTGGATAGACAAGATAAGCAGTGACGGTAGTGTCAGCATTCGGCTAAAGCACTTGGATTTTGAAACCCTTCCCCAGCTGTGTGTGTGTGTGTGTGTGTGTGTCTGTGTGGTGTGTACACATGTGTGTTTTTATGTGTGTGGTTTTACAAGTCTCTGGAACTATCACTCCACTTAGCAAGGCCTAGTGATTCAGTATTTCCTTTTTTAAAACTTTGTTTTAATATTTTGTATTCAGTTGATTGCATTTCTACCAACTTCTTTATTGGTTCGAGTAAGCAAGCCCTGTCTGTTAGATGTCTTAATAACTTTTCTGGGTTTTTTCTGTAATGAAATATTTCAGAGAAGAGGAAAAGGCTGCACGTATAATGATTCCTGGTGGTTTCATTTTTACTCAAACGACTGTTACTACAGAGCCCCAGATGTCATATTAATGTATTATCAGGTCAGTTTATAAGAAATCACATGTGAGTGTGTGCTGATACAATTTGGACAACATTTGTTGGGTCATGAGGCCTAAAACCAAGAGCCATATGTT